ATTCTGTGATTCTGTGTGATTCTGTGAATAGTTTTTTTTTGTTAAGAAAGGTCTTAAAAACCAAAAGCATAAACCCAAGCTCTTAAATACCATCAGGAAGGTCTTTAGACCTTCTTCTCAGAGCAGGACCAGGTATAAGGTCAGACCAGATTGTTCAGATGCTTATCCAGTCTGAACTTGAATACCTCCAAGAATGAAGACTGCACAACTTTTTTGGGCAATCTCTACCCTAGCATGTGTTACAGTCCAAATTTAATTTGAGAAATGCTTAGTGGAGTCTTTCATATGAGAGAAGCTTGCCCATCAGCATGAAGACTTTGCAACCTACATGGGGTAATAATAAAAGAAATACTTCTTTATTTTCTTATTTATTTCATTTTATAATTCAACAAATGCCTTTGATTTGGTAAAATTCAGAACAGACAAGCCTGTTAACTACCTCTTCGAGAAACATAGCTCTAGGTTGGCTCAGACACACTACTCCGGAGAGCAGATGTTCTCTATTTGTAGTTTCCCTCAATACATTCGAGACTCGGTTGTGGACTGTGGTCCGCCAGCAGTGTTTTGAGTACACAGCACACACATACATGTGCCTTTTATCAGTAAACTCATAGGGAAGCAGCTCACACAGAGTTTAGAGCCTTATTAATAGCTGTGGCAAACAGAACTGATCTTAGCACCAGGGCTTACTCCACAAATGCTTGTTATGAATGGGTCAGGGCAGGGAGGGCAAGTTTCTTCCCAGTACTTTGGATGGAGCAGAGAGAAAGGACAAGTGGGAATTTAGGACTAAAGATGAGGTTTGGTAGACTAAGTGATTTCACATTTTGCATATGTAGAGAAGTACAGTCTCCCTGTTTTGACTGGAGCAGGCTTTGGAGAAAAGTACCTTCCAACTTGCATGAACATCTAACTCCTTTGAAGGTGCAAATAGGGTAAAGGATTTTATCTTAGCAGCAAGATTCTAACCCACTTCCTAGAAGGAAGACATTTTTGCTCCCTTTTTCCACAGTTTTGAGTACCCAGATGGAAGAATCTGGCCTTAAAACACATGTGTAGCAAACAAGGAATTTTGAGGCTTCGTCATGCCTTTGGCAGTGCTGACATCAGCGAGATGTCTCACTGAAGAGCTTGGCAATTTGACAAGAGGGAATTTGTTCTTTTCAGTTGGAAATAGATAGCTTGTCATCAGCCAAAACGCACAGCAAACTCCAGCACATTGTAAGGATTCTTCACCCAACTGTCCCAAAAGCATCTCTGGGAATGCCACTGTTCTCTGGAACATTTCTTATGGAAGAGCAAAGCAGGAGGCTGAGATGTAGCTTTATAAGGTTATAGAATTCAAAGACTTTTAAACCAATTAACTCCAAAGGATATAATAAAGTAACTTATATAATAAGTGAGGCTCACACAGTGACAAGATAATAGGAATTGTCGGCCTAGTTCAGCTAACAAAAATCCGTCTTGCCCAACAACCTGCTACAGTTAGCAGCCTGCAGC